GGCCGTACAGCACGACAGTTTCATCAAGGTCTTCAAGAGGCTTGCGGGGAATCTGCATTGCTTTGCAGAACAGTGGCAAGGTGGGTAAAAGCTTTCAATGAGGGACACACCAAAATGTGGCACACATCTGTTGGTCAGGTCGTCCTAGTGTCAGTGAAGAACTGTAGAGTGATCGATGCCATATGATTTGTGAGCTGGCCCAAGAGACAGGATTAGCGCATATGACTGTGCTTCACATTCTGAAGGAACGCCTGGGCATGAGAAAAATTGCATCACGATGAGTTCCACATGATTTGATGGAAATGAAGAAATGGCTACAATACGACACTGCTCGTATCCACTTGGAGCGCTATGAGCTCGAAGGAGAGGCTTTCTTATGCTGTATCATTACGCTGGATGAGACATGGGTCAAATCGTACGAGCCACAAATGAAACACCAATCGAAGCAAGCGTGGCTTATTTGTCCGATCGATGGGGCTGGAAGTGCTGTACCATCCACCATATGCCCCAGACTTAAGCCCTTGTGACTTCAACTTGATTCCTAAGATGAAGGAACCACTTAGTGGCCACCAACTTCTCACACCAAAATGTCACATGTAGGGTGGTATGCATGACGAAAATGACAGGTTCTAGTTCGGATTGGATTTATTAACACTCTGGTTATAATCTGTCTGAATCACATTTAAATACAGGATTATCACTGTTTCCACATTTTATAAGTCACTGTTATATATACACATCATCTCCTGGTAATGCAGTTAAAAAATAGGAACAAGCACTTTAAATCACTCCAAATATTACACATGAACAAAGTCTTCTAATCACATGTCAAATCTTCACAATTCACGCTCCATTCTCGTCCTTGTACTCTCAACTGCTGAACCTTCTGGACTCTCCACTTTTTCACTGTCATTTACAGACTGAAATTTGTTATATATGTAACTGTTGTTATATAGCCTCCACACCGACCACGCAGAAAATACAGCCTCTATTGTTGAAACATGTTTACCGAACCACTGCATAGCAAAGGATACAGCATGGACACCATAGAAAGCCAGTCATGTGATAGTTACCTCGCTAGTCCATTGGTGCGCTGTTGCCTAGCAACAAGCTATAAATGTTCGTCCTACTGTTGAGTGCGCTTACAAGAGGAGGTGTTTATCACACTATTGTCTATCTATACATGTTACAATATTAACGCAGGAGAAAAGAATCTGTTTCCCCCTTCAGATGTGACCCCTCCTGGCTTCAAGGCATACATTGGTATCTTACTGAAAATGGATTTAAACCCCAAATGCAGAAGAAAAGATTACTGGTCACAAGAATGGATCAGTAAGATGCTGTTCCTCAAAGATTTAATTTTTTGGACTGAATTAGTACAGGTACTTTGGGTGCTGCATGCAAGTCCACCTGCTTTACAAACTCAGGATGTCAGACCTCTTGGGAACAAAATCAAACACATAGTCAAATATGCTACAGGAAAGTTCTGCAAAGATTATCAGCCAAGCAGACATTCTGCAGCAAACAGAGAGATGGAGAGTACAGTAGGTTTAAAAGCATGCATAATATTCAAAATGTAGAATCCTACAAAGCAAATTAAATACAGCCCTCATATTTATGTGCCGGAAGACTGCAAAACAAATTATATTATGGTAGCTATACCATACTATGGAAACGAAAGTACAGATAACCTTGCAAGACCTGACCTCAATTTTTCAAGCAGAGTTTCGCTACAGCAGTGTGAAGTGCTTCTTACATCTTCATGTGGCTTAAGGTATCACTTATATACCAATAAATAGTATACAAGCTATGTTCATTGACAAGAGAGGCAAAGATGAAAACACATACAACCAGAAAAAAAATCTAACGGAATGCATCTTCCAGCATAGGCAGAGACTCATAGTAAAAAAGTATTGAATTGAATTGAATTGAATTTATTTACATTCTATAAATCCTTAGCAGGTTAGTACCTTTGGATACAGAACAAGTCAAAAGGTTACATACATAAGTACAGGCAATTTTAGCTTAAAAATTAATATAACTTAATTTTACATCATTCTCTATTTACATT